AAACACCAGAAAGGAGCTGAAGCAGCTCCACAGACACTCTCATATGCTGGCATGGGCTGAGGGCTTCCCAAACCAACAGCAGCTATTTCGGAAGCTGGAGGAGGTACAACCAGAAAAGCGAGTACGGCAACGTGTCCCATAAAAAAAGAAGGAAGGAGGATCCTGGCATTTGGCAGTATTCAGGTGACCCCCTTCTCTGTGTCGAAGTGCAAGCTATAGAAAAATGCTGATGCAGAAAGGCCCAGAGACGAAGCCCACGTCACAGAGGCAGCGATGGTTTACAACAAATAATTCTTGCCAGGTTAAGTCTAATTGCGTCTAAAAACAGAAATGCAAGACAAGGGGTTTAAAGAAACACTAGGGATAATATATCTGGTCTCACTGAATCCTGCTGCCAAAAAGCGTTAGATTGGATTACGAACATTATTACATCAAAAATGGATTGAAGGGCTTAAAGACTAACAATAAACAGCAAATGTATTAGATTTATGGGGCAAATATCTACTGAGGCCTTGCTTTTGCTTCAGTGTTTTCATCAAACAAGGTCTCTGTGCCTCAAACGGGCTCATGGGAGAGGTGGGACACTGTGGCCGTGCCCGGGAACTTGGTAGAGGGATGGGCGAGAGAAAACGCCACTGGAAAAGCACCACAGCGCTCGTTGGCCAAGGCGCTGCCCAAAACATCTGCAAACAGCTGCCTGGAGAGCATCAAAAGGCTGAGAGAGGCTTTATTTGGGGGGGGCTTTGCTCTCCTGCACCCCAGCGGGCTGGGCCACATCCAGAGCTCCTGCACAGCGAGGAGCTGCACCGGGAGCTCCTCCACTGCCAGGACATCGGGATTAATGCATCTCTATCTAGGCACCTCATTACCAGAGATAGTAAAACTGGAGCAAGTTCAAAGAGTAGCAGCAAATGCAATTAAGAGCTGGAATGAATTGAGGAGGGGAGGTGGAAAGAGCCAAACCTGCACAGCTGTCTGAGCCGTGGTGGGGCCCAAGCTGCCCACGAGCATCCCAGGAGCACAGACACCAGGGCTGGGAGGGCAGGTTACTTGAGTGGGGCATGGACAGCCAAGGAAGCAGAGGAAAATCATCAGAAAGTGGTAAAAACCAAGGTTGAGGAGAAATATGGGTATGGTCAGGCTCTAAGACCCGGGGCAGATGATCTGTGGGCATGAAGCAGGACCTCAACCCCACCTCTAGGCCAGCACAATCACAAAACAGTCTTCAGGTTTTGTCTTCCCCTAGCCTTTTGCTCCTGCTAGCCCAAAAAGCAGTTGGATGGATTATTTTTAAGCACGTGGATGCATTCTTCCCTCCCATTTCACATCTGCACACAGGTCTGCAAGTACAAACTACTCTGGAGCTTCCACCGACCTTTCCAGCAGCCCACCCATGGATTTGTACTTGGCTGAGAAACCCCCAAAAGGACCTTCTTTTGGGGCAAAACAGCAAGAATCTATTCCTGTTGGACCTCACCTCCCTACCTCCCACACAGCACAGGAGGAACAACCCAGGAGAGCCACCACCATGTGCTTCCCTCTGTCTGCCCACAGTGTATTATGGTTTTGCAGGGAGGGGACAGGACATGGGGACAGGAGGCTCCCAAACAGACACCAAAGGCAGCCACAGGAGACCAAGGACAGAAGAAACCACAGGTCTGTCATGGAGTAAAACGCCCAATACCCAAATTCCCAACTTCTCTGCCTTCTCCATCCCCCATGTCCTGCTGCAGCCTCACAACCCTCTACCAAGCCCCTGCCTCAGGCAGGAGCTCCTGCTTCTTGTTCTTCATGAAAAAGCTCAGGAAAAATGGTTTGGTGGTTGGACTTGTTGATCTTAAAGGTCTTTTCCAACTGAAATCATTCTATGAAAAAGCATCCCCTTCCCCTACCCAGCCCCAGGAGAAAAAGACGACTTTAACGACAGCGGAGGGGCTCAGCACAAGGCTCTGGAGAGGTTACGTTCGCTTTCAAAAGCCTTTTTCATCGCTAAGCTGAGGACTGGGGCTGTGTCCCTGCATGATAAAAGTGGCCCTAAACAAGGCTTGGCATATCCAAGGCAAGGGCAAAGTGGGGGGGAGCAGCCCTGAATGGGGAGGGACCCCAGGAAGCTCCCCCCCCGGCTCCGTTGGGGAGGTTTTCCAGCTGCCTGGGGAAGGTGGGGGGCAAGCGGCACACGTCCCCGCTGCTGCCCCGCTCCCCTCGGCTTCAGCATCGCTTCCCCAGCTTAGGGCTGCCGGCAAATGAAAAGGAAGAAAAAAAACCAAACCCTTTTGTGTGTCAAGGCAAAGCTTGGGGAGAGGGGAGGGGAAAAAAGGCAAAAAAAAAAGAGGAAAAAAAAAAAAAGACAACACGTGGGTGGTCCGTTCAGGAGACTTTTGACTTTGTTTTTTTGGCTATTTTCTTTCTAGGCAGAAAGAGCTCCTGGGGCTGCTCGGCAGAGGGTACGGCCTGATCACAGGAGCACCATCGGCCCACCCAGGGGCCAAAGTTCAGCTGGCAGCGGCCACTGGCTCCCCGCACCAAGGGGGCTCACATCAAAGTGCAGAGGAGTCAAGAGAAATTAAAGTCAGAAACGGTCCGAGGACGAGGCAAAGGGCACTGCCGGCCCCCTCCGCAGAGAGGGGAGGGACCCCACAGGGATGCTCTGAGCACCCCGCTCACTGCATCCCTATTCCAGGCTCCGTCAGAGCTGCAGCGGGCTGGAGCGATGATGACCCAGGTGTGCTGGCAGCAATGGAGAGGAGCTGGCATCAGCTCAAAGCCAGGGGGACCCTCGGGGAGCCGCGTCTGCAGTCGGCAGCGCCCTGTGGGCAGCTTGTGAAAACATCACCGAAAGCTACAGGAGGTTGATTTAACTTAAGCAGCAGCTTTCGTGTGAAATGCAAAGCAGGTCCTTCAAAATCTGTGTAATTCAGAGCTTGGTAAATCCCTCTGCCTGCACCTTCCGGCCAGACTGCGGTACAATGCGAGGGACCCCACATGTCTCCTCCTCAGCATTTCGTTAAGCTCCTGAGCTCATTCTGGGGAATATATTTGGTTCTGGGGGGGTATTTGCAGCCTGAGGGTCCCAGGGGATGTAGCAGCGAGGCAGCACCCCAATTTCAGCCCTCATTAGCTTGACAACCACATCCCTCCTTGAACTTGACCCCCAAGCACGGAGGAGCTGCTGACCAAGTGCTTCAAGATGTTTGCCCGATGTACAAAAGGCAGAGTCACGTCTGTGCTTTTAGCCCCTTTCTGGCAAGTTGGTGACCCCACCAGTGCCCCTCGAGTGACACCAGGCAGATGGCCCCAGATCCGGACAGCGAGGGTGACTGAGCAATGGCAGCTCCCTGCCAAACTGTGACTCAAGCCCGCGGTCTCTGCTGGCACCACCGCCGTGCCAATCCAGCTGAGCAGGTAATTGTGCCATGTGTCCTCCCTGCTGTCACCCTTCCTACAACCACGTGGTGCTGGGCACAGGCGACCAGAAACCCCTCGTCACCACGTATTAGGAAGCAAAAAGTAAAATTCACCGCAAAGGACGCAAGAGTGGGCTCAGGCTGGACCCACCAGGGCCTGTCTGCTCTCTGGTCACTGGATTTACTCAAATTGTTCTGCACCAAAACCACGGGCAGCCCCAGCCACAAGGGGGGCTCCTTGGTAGCACTGCCATGGCGCTTGTGCTATGGCTGAGCACCTCCTTCCCGCAGCCGCCTGCAACATCCTCGCCACCCCCTCTGAGGGCAAAGATTTCAAGCTAAAAATACATTTGTTTACCGACTGGAAAGCATCGCCTCCCACGCGGGCGGCTGACCTCTGCATCGATGAGTCCATGGCATGTGATGGCCAGGGCAGAGACGAGCCGCATGGCCACCGTGCCCTTTGCCGTCTGCTCCGCTGCGGCTTTGCACGTGATGTGCCGAGACAGAGGAAGAGCGAGCGGGCGGGCATCCTTCTCCATCCATGCTGGAGCTGGCACAGGCGCACACATCCCTGAGCAACAGTCCCCTGCATGCATGGACTGTGAAGTCTGAGAAAATTCAGCCCTCCTTCCCTCTCCCATCCACAATGCTGTGTTATATAGAAAAACAGGCCAGTGCGCAGGATTTTACAGCCACAGCAAGCACTGGGCACCACCAGCAGCTTCCCACTGCCGGGGCTGCTCTCGGTGGCAGCACCCAAGGAGGAGGATGAGGACCGCCTCGGTCACTGTTTCTCCCAATCCTGGCTGCCCCACCGGCAGCTCCACAGGGCAAAGCCCTACAAGAAATGCCCTGCAACACCTTCAGCCTCAAAGGAAGATGGCAGCAAAAAATAAGCTCCAGATACCCACTGCTCCTCCGTGCCATGGCTGACCCCGGCTGGGGGACATGCTCTTGCTCTTGCTCCTAGCCATGCAGGGGACACAGCCAGATAAGAGCTGGTGACCCGCTCAGCCAGCGGCGCATTCCTCCCCCTTCTCCCATCCAGCAGGAAATATTTTCCGTACGTGTCAGCTCTTTGCACCGGCCAAGTCGTGAACAAGCGCCTGGTGACACTGTGCAGGCCCCCGTGGCCCCCCCGAGCCAGAGACAGCGGCGAGGAAGAGGAGGGCGACTCACATGTGATGAAGTAATCCTGCTGCCGCTTGAACTCCAGGCCCATGTAGTTGGGGCTGAACTCCTGGAACTTGATGGTGAAGCGGATCTCCTGCTCGGGCCGGTTGCATGTCACTAGCACGTTGGGGTCCATGACGGTGCTGCAGGCATCTGCCTGGTCCTTCTTCACCAGGTACAGCTTGTAGTATTCGTAAGGCTTGGACGGCTCTGCCTTGGGGCAGATAATGTCCAATTTATCCCCAATCTCTGGGTAGATGACCAGCCCTCTCCCAGACATGAACCTGGAAGAGAGGAGGACAAGTGGTTAACCACACGCTCAAGTGCAGGCAGCGGGGGCCACGCCAACCCGTCTCACCCTGTGCAGAACCCCACTTTCACAGAGTTTATTTGGTGCTTAAACTCTGCTGCTTTCTCTCCATGAGATGTTGTTTGACACCGAAATAAAGCTTTCCTCTCCCTTCTCACGCAAGGAGCCAGTGCAGGCTCTCACCAACAAAACCAGGGGCTGGCTTGGCACAGTCCTGCTCCCCAGCCCTTCTGCATCGTGGCGAGGGAGAGCACCCAAACCCAAGCCCAGCACCCAGAAGGGAATGGAGTCTTCCCACAAAGGGATGCGGAGCTGGAGCCACAGTGGCTCTGCCCGACAGCCAGGCAAGGAGCTTCCTGCAGGGACAGGAGATAATTAGGGATGGGGAGAAGTCCTGACAATGGGGTGCGGGGAGGGATCCCTTCCACGCCCTGACTCCCCGAGGAATTCCTGTCCTTAAATGGAAGAGAGGGAAGCATCCTGCAGGACAACTTCTCCCAAGCCAGGCTCAATGGCATGCCCAGGAGCGTGGGAGGACCGGATGGAGAGGAGCAAGAAGGGAGGAAAGCTATTTGGGGCTGGAAGGCAGGGCATTGCGACGGGAAGGAAGGCAATATGCTGATAATTAACATTGACACTTTATTATTGTGGAGCAATACTCTGATTTTTAAGGATTAGAGCAACAAGGAGGGAAGCAGCAGAGCATCTACTTTGATGTAGGCAACGTAGTGTGTTCTTGATGGAAGATAAGGTGGGGATGGATGTCCCTACGAAGTCCTCTCTGCTGCAACTCCCTCACATAATTTGGGCATGGCAAAAACCAAAGCGTGTGCTTCAAGCTGCACCTCCATGACTTTCCCTTCTGGGCACAGGGCCAGTACCTGCCCCATCCCACCCCAGAAGTCGGACAGGGGGCTATGGGCCATGAAGACACCTTCTGCCCCCAGCCAGCTGCACCGGCCGGGGCTGCAGGCACCGCAGGAGAGAGATCAAACACACAGGCCCAACCTGCTCCGTGGCTCTGGGACAAGTCCTAGCAAGAAGCCACAGAGCTGAAACCAGCACCTGAGCAGCCCAGGCTCCTCCAGGCCTCCAACAGATCCGGGCCCAACCAACCGGGCTGGGAGGAGGCAGGAGGAGCCCACGCACACCCCGATGCCCTTGGCAAGGGCTCCGGAGCTCGGTGCCAGCTCTAACAGCGGGAGGGACGGTCAGGACAGACAGACAGACACCATCTGCACCTCTCCATCAGCTCAGAGGAGGCAGCCCCAGCGACAGCGGCTATGGTCCCCATCACACATGCTGCTGAATTCAGGTGGGTTATCTGCCCCAGCTCTGTGCCCAGCGCTGCCACCAGGTGAGCCACACTTTGCCAGAAGGCTACCAAGTGGGTCAGCTGGCCACCAGCCAACGCGCCGCGTCCAAAGCCTCGGGAGCGATAAAGCCTTCCTCCACCCACGGCCAGAGCCCTGATGCAATCCCAGGAGCCGCAATCCCGGGAGCAGGAGATGCAAAGGAGCCCCTGCCCCTCCCTCCCTCCCCACCCCGCAGACACAAGCCAACGCTTTGTACGCTGGCTCCCCAGTTCCCACCCCAAGAGGCAGCCGGATCCCACACTCCCTGCTCCACGGCTGGGCTGAGTCAGAGCCTTTCTGGCACAGGACACACAAGTGACTCAAATTCCCTCCTCCAGCCCTTGCCAGCTCCCTCCTGCCCAGAAGATGCTGAGCCGAAAGCCACAATTAAGTCAAGCAGACGTCTCGCAACGCCAGAGTGGGAGGAGAAGGCTCCTATCCATCCCCCATCTGCACACCAGCAGGACCTATCGCACCTCCTTGGCCAAAAGCCTCGGCCAACACCTGCCAACTGCCTGGTCCACGCGACGGCACGGCCGTCTGGGATCAGGTCAGGCTGATTTTTAAGCAGGGGAGAGGCCATAATGCAACAGAGGGAGTTGAGAAAATCCCAGCACCACATCCCGCTGGCACCTCTTCATCCTGGAAAATCCAGAAAGCAAGCCTGCGTTTGGGTTTTTTTGGGGTTTTCTTTTTGTTGTTTTTCTTTATTTTTGTTTCAAGGATAAAATGACGAGTCGAATTTATTCTATGAACGCTCACGGCTTCTGCCTGAGAATTAGCCCAGGAACATTTTCCAGATCTTCTACACGAAGGTGGAGCAAGGCAGAGCTGCCAGTCAAAGTATGGGGCTTTTGGGGGTGCTTCCCCACCGCTGTTCACATTTTACTCTTTTTCCTCCAATTTCCCTGAATTTTTCTGCTCCATTCCCCCCTTAGTGTCCTCTCCTTCTCTAAAAGCAAAGCCATGAAGGTAAACCCCTGAAAGCCTTCAAAATCCCTCTCACTGCTCTCTGAGCTCTTAACCACACATTAAGATCTTTTCCACCCCCAAATTCTGCTTAGTCGCAAGCAATGGCTTGTGATGGCCATCCTAGGGATGACTGACAATGGTTCCCATCATGCAAGAGGCCAGTTCCCCAGGAAATCATCCTTTTAAATACAGGACAAGAACAGCAGAGATAAAAGCATCCAAAAATTGCCACAAGGTGCCCATACACAGCATGACAGCAAGTTCTGGGGATGAGAAATTTTACTTCAGAAGGACGACTGAAGGCAGAAAAGAACGAGAATCTTGACTTGTCTTTACAGGGACACATCTCCAAATTTATCTGAACCGAGAAGAACAAGCAGATCTCCTTTTAAATTAACAGGGAAATCCATCGTGCCCTCAGATAACATCTCAGCATCCTTCCTCCTGGTGTTGAAGGTAGTGGGAAGAATTAACTACAGCCATTAAAGTTAAACCAAAACACAAATCATTTTGCCAGCGCTGCAAACTGTGCCCAGGTGAGCAGAGTGATGGGCTCCACTCCAGTTACCGCCAGCTTCATCACTTCAGGCCGCTCAAGGTGATGTTTGGGTGGCACCTGCCCACCCGCAGTGCCGTACCCCGGCCAGGCATCCCTACTGCTGCACCCCCAGGCCCCCCAGGCCCCCAGCTCCCGGCCCTGCAGGTTCCTTGGGAGCGATCAGGTGGCGGCGTCCGATTTCCTCATTGTTTCGGGAGGTGTTTTCTGATGGGAAAGGTGAAAAGGGGATTTGTGAGCCTTGTAAACCGATTCCTCCAAGTTGGGTAAACAAGGGGAGCTCTGTTGGCAGTGGGATGCCGGAGCGGACAGATGAGATTAAAGAGCAGACCCAAGTTAGGGGGCCACTGGCAGGGACCCCCAACCCCCTGCAAACCAGGCAGGGTTTGCATGACCGGTAAATTGCTTGAAAATATACTTTTTTAAAATAATAGGTTGACACACTTTCCAACAACCTCTTCTCCTCCCAGCCCATGAACTCCTTGCACCACATGAACTACAAAATCTTTAGGGCAGCATCACCTTTCCCCGTGCTCAAGAAACACGACGCGCCTCGCCTTATTTCAGGTTTTGCAGAAAACAGAACACTTAACAACAATCTCCTCCTCGGAGAAGATGCTTTCAAGCACTAATGCTGACATTCATAGAAGATGACATATGCTAAATGCCGTTTTCTTCAAAGAAATCCAAAAATAACCAGATCTTACAAGGAGAACATCTACTTCTGGCAGTGAAGGCTGCTGATGCCCGGCACAGCAAGGCTTTGCGAGAGGAGGGCAGTGATAACCGAGGTGCATACGGATTTTCTAGCACGCAGAAACTGAGCATTTTCCCAGTGCTTGGGCAGCTGAAGGTCTCGTTGGCACAGCTCTCCATATTAACACAGTCCTCCCAGTAGCCACCACAGCTCACACCAGTTGGGAACCCTCATCCTAGTACATCAGCGGCATCCGCAGCCCTTTCCCAGCACGGTGTCGGGACTCGGAGGCACAGGACCCTTTCTTCTTCTTGACTCCCATTAAATTCTCGGGAACAAAGATATCCACAAAAGGAAGTTAATTACAACTTGAATTAAAAGGTTCCCCGCCCTCCTCTGCCTCCCATCTGTAGCTGTCGCCTTCTCGCTTGTTCAGTCGTTATTCGTCACTGCAAGGGAGGGTAAATAGGAGCACGCGAATCCCCACACTTTTAGATCCCACTTCTTTTATGTGCTCTTCTATTATTAGTCTCCTTCAAAAAGAGACTTCGATCTTTCCCCCCCCCTGCTAATCTATGTATAATTATTTTCATTGCCCTTCTGCAGACCTCTTCTATTTCTGCTGCATCCTCTTGAAGCCAAGGTGGTCAGCACGGAACCCAGCAATTTCGGGTAACTTTCTGAAAACTCCCTCATCTTCACTCCTTTGGCCTTCGCTCCTCAAAAGTGATGTTTTTAGCTATTCGCAACAGCACCTTCCAGTTCCCCATCCCCGCGCAAGGGGAACAGCCCCTGCCGAGCCCCCACGGCCGCCCCACGGGGCCATCCCATCCTGTCCTGTCCCCCTCCCAGATGCACTCTAAGGCCTTTTTTTTTTCCACATCTCCAGTTTAATGAGGCCCATTCAACCCTCCCAAAGACAAAAGGTCCTTCTCGTTTCCAAACGGATTTACACGACACATCAGTCAGGCATAAACGGGTTGCCATGGCAACGCACACCCGGACTCCCCCCTGCACAGGGATGCCATTTTCTAACTCCACTGCTCCCCAAAACTCCCCTGTTGCTTTACTACCAGTTGCAAGGCTCAGCACAAGCTGGCAAAAGCACCCACCCTACCCAAAAGTGACCCCCTCCCTGCTGTCACAGAGGCCATTTTGTGAGACGAAGTTAAAAGACGCTAAAACCAGTGCTCCCCCAGTGCCAGCTCCCCAGTAAGCTCTGCACCGAGACCAACTCCAGGTCATGGTCGAGCCAGGGTTCACATTAAGCGGAAGGCAAGGAAACACCAGCTTCAAGGGGGAAATGAAACCAAAATGCCCAGAAAGAAGCGTGATGCTCAAGACAGCACAAGCGAATCCATGCTCAAGCCCCAGCCCCGACTCAGCTCCCCT